AAGGTCAAAGGGCTTTAAAGCAGTGCAATCATTTTGAAATTTTTATCATTTACTTATTATGCTTCATTAAGTACTTATACAAAATTTTATTAAAAAAAACCATTTAAACTGGGCTGTTCGGATTTATATGTCACTTAGTACATATATTTAGTGGATTGGTTCCTTTCTGCAAAAAGCCGTCCATTCGAAGAGTGTATTTGTTCTTAAGCAATGCAGATGTATTTGTTTTTATCTATCGAGCCCTTTTTTGATGAACGTGATGATCACCTCAAGGCAACACAATCACTTCTCGACGTCGACGGCCAGCGAAGATCCGAGAATGTTTTTCGATGACGATGCCAGGTAAATAAATATATTAAAGCTCCATTCTCCTGCAGTGACAGGCGAGAGTGGGATTTCTAGTCTTTTACACCTGAAATCCTTTGACTTATGAAAGAAAACGGCGGTCACAATGAGATTTTTCTACTGGATGGACTCAAATGTATTTATTATATTAAACTGTGAGTGTGTGATAAATGAGATCCTTATGTATATGAGTACCTTACCAGATACCACCGCATTGTGGGAGTTTGGATATCTTGAATCGTCGACGTGTTTTTTCAGTTGGGATAGAAGTAACGGTTCAGTTCGAGCCATACTGCCAGTATAAAAAACTTAGTCGTAGGAATAGGAATGATGATAGGGTATGTATGATGCATAGTGCTTCTCGGATCGCAGCTAGGATTAATTTTTGCATTCAGCATACCAGTCGCCTCTCATTTTGAGCCCTAGAAAATATTTGTTCATCATCATCCCTCAAGTCTGAAACATTTTAAGCGGGTTGGCAGTGTTGCCGCTATCCTTTCTTAAAGTTACAGATTTTTTATAAGACGTTTACTTTATACCACCTTTTCAAAGTCTGCTCGAGTCGTCTGGGGGGTAATTACCCCTTTTACCCCGTGTGAGCGCCAGTGCAATCATATGACGTAAAGATGTAGCTAATTTTTTTGGGCGAGTATTTCCGATAACCATCAGTGCCAAAGTCAACAAGCCGACCTCGTCGCAAATCTGTTAATTCTAACCGCGAACCGTCCTCAAACCATCCGCCGTGACGCGTTATCCGTTAAATGTGTAATGATGCGTGCAGGGGTCCGAAAAGTCACCCATTCATCATCTATTCCCTTGCCCCCCACTCTTCTGCAGAGGTGTCTTTCGTACCGTAGCGGCAATGCAGCGGCCCCCTGGGTGTCCCGACATGACACCTATTGTGCCAGCCCACCATATTATGTACCACTTCGCAGCATATTGGTTTTACAAGGGTGCAAGCATTACGTATGAGATTTATTTGTTATAGCGCAGTTTGTATATGCGGGATTTGCCTTATGTTGAGGGAAGAGTCACTTCATGTATGGGTAAAGGAGGGGTCTGTAACACTGTAGGGCGGTACATAACAAATGTTTGAAGGTAAGGATGAAAAATAGCTAATAGACCACATTTTATTTTCTTATTTCACTTCTATAATTGTTGCTTTTAGTTCCTATTGGTGCTTGAGAAACAATTTTTTGAATCCGCATGATAGCGGAAAAACAAGCGAACCTTTAAGACCGAAACATATGGAATCTATTGTCATTGTTATTTTGATCTGTATTTGGAAAAGGCCACCGTGGTGGCTGAAACATCTTTAAAGTGTAATTTCTACATAAATGCAGTTTCACTTGGCCCGAAAGTTCTATCGACATGAAAACCATATAATAAGTTTCAGATGTTACATAATATCTTTAGCTACTTTTCATATACAGGGTGTTTCAGTTTATTGTTGCATAACTTTAAGATTCGATAGAACTTTTAAAATTAATGCATAAAGTCTATATAAACATGGGTCGAAAAATGCGTGGCTTCCGAAATACAGGGTGTTTAAATTTACTTTCTAAAATAGTTTTTTTTTAAATATTTCGAACAATATTTGATGTATAACAGTGAAAATTGGTATTCAAGGGTTTTTTGGTACCACAAAACGAACCCTGGGCGTAGTTTTACTGTAGCCGCTAGAGGGCGCTCTCTACTGTACCTGTAGTGTATTAAAATGACCGAAAATTTATTCTTAGTGCAATTTTTTGCTTTTTGAATAAAATAACTGATTCTTCGCACTTTTCAACATAAAAAAGCTCTCTTGTGAATTTTCGTTATAGTTAGCCGTTTTTGAGATATTTCGATTTTTAAGGTTCGATGCATTTTTAATTATTTATGATAAAATAACGTTAAAAAGTCAGTATCTCGATAATTTTTAGAAGTAGGCTGTGCCTACAAATATTTTGAAATTGAAAGCAGAATAAGGTTAAACGTCAATTAATTGACAGTTAGTTTTGTTGTCTGTTGAAACCTGAAACGTTTTTTGCAATTGTGAATGCACGAAATTTAGTTTCTTTTACCTGTTTTTTTTTGTAAGTTTTATAAAAATGAAATTTTTACTCTCCAATCAAGAGTTAGCGGATATTAATTTTGTGTATGGCTTTGTAAATGGAAACGCAGCCAGAGAATACGCACGAAGATTTCCAAACAGACGACATCCAACTCGCTCAGTATTTGTAAGAGTGCATCGCCAAATAATTGACAATGGTTTTGGAAATCTCCAAAGGGATCAAAACATAAATGTTCGTCAGCGCAGATTTACCCGTATGATTCTGCGTGAGTTTGATAGAGATCCGACCACAAGTGTTAGGAGAGTTTCTGGTGCCTTGGGAATTTCAGCAAGCCATGTTCACCGTGTTCTTAGAAATGACCATAGACGTCCTTACCATTTTGAATCACATTTTGTCAGTGGATTCTTGATAGAATTGATAATAATAGGGATATTTTAGGTAACGTTTTATGGACCGATGAGTCATGCTTCACTAGAAGTGGAGTGGTAAATTTTCATAATCAACATATTTGGTGGCATGAAAATCCGCATGCAGTTCGGGAAAGAAATGTTCAGCATGAATTTAGTGTGAACGTGTGGATTGGTATCTACCGTAATCGACTATTTGGACCCTACCTTTTGTAAGATTAAATGCTGCGACCTTCTTGGATTTTTTAAAGACTGAACATGCAAATATGTGGTATGATGTTATGTTAGATTTAAGAAGATTGGTCTTGTTTCAGCTTGATGATTGTTCAGCTCATTATTCGAGAATAGTTAGAAAGTGGCTGGACGAAAATTATCCAGAAAGATGGATCGGCCGTGGAGGACTAGTCGCCTGGCTTCCACCATCCCTGACCTAAATCCATTAGATTTCTTTGTGTGGGGATTTCTAAAAGAAAAGTGTACCAGACTCCAGTAACCACAAGAGATATGCTAATAGAGAGAATCAGGAATGCATGTGATGAAATAAGGCCTTATTTGAATAATACGTTCGATCATTCGTAGATGTGAATTGTGTATTGAACAAATGGGTTTACATTTCGAGCAACTAGTTTAGATTTTGTATGTTTGTCCTAACTATCCAATAGCATTTCAGTTGTAAATAATTAATTTAATTTGTTAAAAATAATATTGGAAAATTAAACAAATTAATATTCTGTTTTTTGTGTTTATTTGGAGTTAGGAATTATTGCTGTGTTTAAAAACACAATCTAAACGATCATCTTAATTACTTGTAATGCCCAAATCGAAAATGTAAAAAAAAATATTATTTTCCTATAAATTATTAAAAATGCATCGAACCTTAAAAATCGAAATATCTCAAAAACGGCTAACTATAACGAAAACTCACAGGAGAGCTTTTTTATGCAGAAAAGTGCGAAGAATCGGTTTTTTTATTCAAAAAGCAAAAAATTGCAAAAAGAAAAAATTTTCGGTCGTTTTAATACACTACAGGTACAGTAAAGAGCGCCCTCTCGCGGCTACAGTAAAACTATCCCCATGGTTCGTTTTGTCGTACAAAAAAACCGTTGTATACCAATTTGCACTGTTATACATCAAGTATTGTTCTAAATATTTAAAAAAAACTATTTTAAAAAGTCAATTTAAACACCCTGTATTTTGGAAGCCACGCATTTTTCGACCCATGTTTATATAGACTTTATGCATTAATTTTAAAAGTTCTATCGAATCTTAAAGTTATGCAACAATAAACTGAAACACCCTGTATATTTTTTATTATACTGAATTTTCTTTGAAAATAAAAGACGGTTTATAAATATAGGGTTTTAGACGACACTTGCCCCTTTTACCCGTTCCTAGTATTTATCGTTGCTACATGAATCTATGGAATTTGATATTACAAACCAAACGGCAAAATTGAAGTCATGTACGTATAGTAAATTTGATAACCAGACCTATAAAAAGTGATACAGGTGCCATTTTTTTGGTTTCATTCGTTTGAATCAAGATTAATGCGGTTTTTTTGCTTCACACTTTATCGGTGAGGTCGGTTCATTTACATATTTTTCTACTTGTCGTCTTCGCGGGCTTTTGATTAATACGAACACCGCGGAACTTAATATATTGTGGCTAAGGCAAGCTTTATTGTTATCCTTTTATTTATATAGCAAATAATTTTTACTTCTGCGTGATGATTTATGTCGGCCGAAGAGTTAGAAAAAGACCAACATTGCGGCTGTTTTATCATATGCTTTTTTAGTCCAGTCCAGGAAGGCGCAAGAAATTTCGAGACTAATCTACCTAAAAAAATACAATCAAATATAATTTTCTAAAGGATTTCTCATCTGAAATTAATATTTTAGTGACAAATACAAATTCGGCAGGTTATACTTACAGGGCGTTTCCCGCATTTTGGAGGAAAAATTGATAAATGTTTTTTGGGATACACCTCGACTATTTTTCTCTTCTTACGGTTTCATTTTGATTTGGAGATACAGGCCCATAAAGGTCGCTGGATTTTCTCAAATATTCTTTGAATGGAACTGTATAATTATCAAAAAAGGCGCCAAAGACCTTTTGCTTCCGGTATTTATATACTCAATGACATTAGAAGTGCCAGAAAAAATAATTTCGTCAACTTGATTTTTTGGCAACGAGGTAGTCTTGTATGAAAAATTAAACTATAACATTTTCACGACATTTATTGACAAGTAACAAGAAAAAAATTAATAATGTGTTGGGCGACCCAGCAGCTGAATATACAGGGTGTCCGCAAAGTTGGGGTTTTCCTTTTCAGAAACAACTACCCTTGAAATAACAAAGGTAAAAAAAAATAAAGGAAAAAGTACTCACTCTCCAGTTGACGAGAAGGGCTAAGTACGTCTCTGCCCGAAATCATACCGCTCCAACAGAAAATGAAATCAGCTGATGCGCTACCGAGCAGACGCCGGCGGTGGTGCAGACCACGGACAGAGGTAACAAATATGACGGAATTGCCGCGTTTTCAGTTTTTAGGTAAACGTACTTTATAGGTATTGTTCGAAGTTATCGCCGTTTGATTCAAAAACACAGGTGCGTGCACGACGTAGCCAAGCATCGGTGCAGGCTTTGAGAATGGAGTCTCTCCCCCGAATGAAAGCACCAGCTTGTTCAATACTGAGACGAAGTTCGTCAACCGTATGCACTTCAGTTTTGTACACTAAGCGTTTCATTTCTCCCCAAAGAAAAAAATCACATGGTGTTAAGTCTGGAGATCGCGTAGGCCACGCTACGGGTCCTTTACGTCCGATCCACCTATTCGGAAATAATTCATTCAAAAACTCACGCACTTCGCGTCTAAAATGGGGCGGTGCACCATCGTGCAGAAACCACATTGCTTGTCTTACACTTAATGGCACATCTTCTAACAAGGAAGGCAAAATGTTGCGTAAAAAGTCTAGGTATTGCATCCGGTTCAATCGATTTGGGAGAATAAATGGTGCAATGAGCATACCGTTCACCATGCCTGCCCAATATGCACTTCAAAAAGTCCGGATTATTGTCATGTAGATGCAACAATCACTCACAAAACCGCACTCTTGCTGGAAAATCGTCCGGTTGAAGGGCTTGTACACGTTGGACGTGAAACGGATACAGCCCCTCTTCACGCAGCGTTTGCCACACTTTAGTTTTTGATACTTGCACTTCTCTAGCCACGTCTCTAGTGCTTGTTGTTTTTTGAAACGCAATCGATTATACGGGTTCGTTTACCTCTACACGCGTGACCGTAACCGTCGGTTGAAGGGGTTGCATACTGACCTGACACACTGACCCCGACCCAGTTCTGTCGTCGGGTTGAGCTAGTGTCCTAGTACCACTCGGGGATGTCGCGGGTCGCGGCTACAGGACGGTATTCAGATATTTTTGATATTGCAGAGCCCTTTATCTCGGTTCCCTTAAGACATTGGTGTATATGGTACTAAGAAAAATTGCTTATGTTTTCAAGATCTACACGTCGTGTAAAGGAAAACCCCAACTTTGCGGACACTCTGTATTTCTGTATGCGTCTAGGCATCGAAAAAATGAGATGATCGATGTCTGGTTGTGGCGCCTCATTCTAAGCACCTCGAACTTCGTGGATTAGCTGTGGCAGTCTGTGGCGGATGGTAAAAAGTCGACAGCCTCCTCCCCATCATATCCCACACATGTTCGATGGGATTTAAATCCGGCGAACGGCGTGGCCACTACATAACTTTACCATTCTACAACCATCGTGCGTACCTGGACAGAATCGCGATTCGTCGCTGAAGATGACATTATGCCATTCTGCCTTCCAATGTTGCTGGTCTCTGCTCCAGTTCAAACGTTGACGACAGTGGTCCGCATTCAGAGGAAGCACTAAGGCTCGAATGCGGCGATAGAGCATTTTGTTTATACTCCAACTACCACGAAGGCCTAAGGCCTAAGCACCCATTGGGTACCATGGGGCTATAGGGGGATACATGGGAAAAGGGGGGACGTCACACGGACTCTGGCGAGGGAACACGTGTGCATGCAACATGCACACATTCTGGCTCCGCCTACGAGAACCGCCGGGTGGTACCTCCGCGTTCGACAGTCAGAGACCATCTACCACCTACGGACAATCACAACATCCATAGCCAAGAGAAACATTTCTCCTGGGACGGGACTCGAACCCGCACAGCGCACGGCGACTGATCAGGACACCGACGAGTCTACTACTGCGGCCACCGCTGCTGCCTAGTACCTACACATAGTAACAGATCTACCTTCTTCTTGAAACCATTGGCATAGTAGCAAAATGGTCTCGTAGGGCTAGTTGTATGAAGCGCCTAGGTTGGGTTAGGGGTGAGGTTTCCTGTGAGTGCATCAATAACGGTCCTCCACTGCGACTCTCTGGTCTATTGTGGCGTACACCTATTCATATTTCCCCCAGGTTTGTTACAGTTTGTTTGGAGAAATATCCTTCAGGTCGCCTGCTTGGAGTACTACGTCTCCAATTATGTTGTACCTGATTCTGGCAATAGCAAGGCATCCAATACATGCCTGATCGTTTCATCTCCCTTCATGCATAGACCGCACTTAGCGTCTTCCGCCATGCGGAGACGCAATTTGCAGTGTACAGTCCTACTAGAGCTGTTAGGCTATTCCTGTTCAGCCGTAGGAAAGAGTCTGTTACCTTCTTCGTCAAGATTGATATAGTTGCCTTAGCATGGGTTAACCCTGCTAATCCCTCTCAGTATTGATGGATCTTTCTGTCCATCTCTGCAGAGATTATTTGTTCAGCCGTATTGTATGCGATCCGAGTCGCCGGAACAGGCGCTATGAAGGGTGTGCTAGCCCCACTGTTTGCCAGAGGGTCAGCTGTCTCGTTTCCCTCTAGACCTGTCTGTCCAGGTATCCATATGCGACGGACTTCATTTTCTTCCCCTATGCCGCCGAGAGCTTCTTTGCAATTCCACACTAATTTCGATGTCGAGTACGTTCTTTGAGTGCGTCTTGACTATCTGAAAAAATAATTATAGTTCTGTGCCTCAGTTGTAGTTCCGCGATCATGCAGTTGGATAGCATATAGCTCTGCCTGGAAGATCGATGCTAAACTGAATCCAAATTCAAGATGAGATGTGAATAATAACAGTTAGCGCGTGATCTCTCGGTAACAGGTGGGAACAACGCCTCTTATTGGTCGATTCGCCATTAAATTTCAAGCGGTCGCCTGGCGGAATAATGCGCGGGGCAGGGGCAGGGCAGGCAGAGTTGCATTCAGGCCACCGACCGTCGCGTGTATCACTGCGTGCTCGTGTTTTCGTATTCGCCTTGCTTGGTTGTTGCTGTTGTTGTTGTTAAGTGCATTTGAGTAATTTGTTAAGTTTCTGTTTGTTACTGTTATTCCTCGTTATTATACTAAGTAGTGACATATAAATCCGAACACCCAGTTTGAATGGTTTTATTTTAATAAAATTTTGTATAAGTACTTAATGAAGCATAATAAGTAAATGATAAAAATTTCAAAATGATTTGCACTGCTTTAAAGCCCTTTGACCTTTAATAATGGTGGATTGCACCCTGATGTGCTACGGAATGTCCAACGCGCCTAGGCATGCTTCTGATCAGGTGGTCAATTCCTCCTGTGGTATCTCGTTCCAGGCAACTACAAACTCTCTCGAAGTGCTTCTAGAGTCTGAGGAGGACGTTGCAAATTGAGCAATCTCCTACCCATCATATCCCACACGTGCTCAATTGGGGATAGTCGGGAGATCTTGGTGGCCATGGTAACAATGTGACTCATTATGTTGAAAGAGTCTATTGTGACTCTTGCAACATGTGGTCGGGCATTATCTTGTTGGAAAGTTGGATCTGCCAGGGTGTCAAGATAGGGTAAAAGATGGGGTTCTAGAACTTCGTGGATATAACGCTGCGCGTTCATGTTGAATGAATGAATGAATCTTGAATTTTAGAGGCATCCCGGCCACCATAAGGAGCCAGTGCATAGGCCCGCTTAAGCGGGCCCTTATGCACCTCTACAATACTTAAATCACAAGCCTCGCCCTTTTAGCGAAGTTGAGAATCGCCTTGAGTCCAAGCTCCTTTACGTCCTGAGGGTCCAAAGTAATGGACCCCAGTATAGTCTGCCTATAGTAGCTCAGAGCTTCACAGCGACACAAAACGTGCGCCGAGGTCTCTTCCTCTACTCCGCAGCGTTCGCATAAGGGATCCTCAGCCACCCCCATCACGTGCAGGTGCCGCCTTAACGTGTTATGGCCAGACAACAGTCCCACCAGCAACCTTAGGTTGGCTCTACCCAGAGATAGGCAGAAGCGTCCATCCTTAGCACTGGGCCCTTCAATGAGCTCTCGTGCCTGGCGGAGATGTCTAGAGATACTTCTCCATTTCTGAGAGTGTTGTCTTGCAACCCACGTCTCCATTTTCCTCCTAGCTTTATGCGCGGTTACTCCTAGAGCTGGCTCAGGACCAACGAGCTTGCTGGCTGATCCTGTTTTCGCCAGAGTGTCCGCCGTCTCATTGCCCCTTATCCCAGCGTGCCCCGGTACCCATATTAAACGATACCGGATGCCTCGCTGCGAGGCAATCCAGAGCCTCCCTGCATTGCAATACAAGACTCGAAGTAATCTTACATGCACTTAGTGCTTTCATTGCAGCCTGGCTGTCGGATAAGATTGTTATTCTTCTCCTAGGCCCACCCTCCTCCAGAATGTGAGATACACAAGCCAGAATCGCAAAGATTTCCGCCTGGAAAATGGTGGTGTACTCACCGAGAGGCAGAGATAGCCTAGTTTCTA